GAGGAGGAGGAGGAGGAGGAGGAGCGAGGCGGGAGGAGGAGGAGGAAGGAGGAGGAGGAGGAGGAGTGAGGAGGAGGAGGAGGAGCGAGGAGGAGGAGGAGGAGGAGGAGGAGAGAGCAGGAGGAGGAGGAGGAGGAGGAGGAGGAGGAGGAGGAGGAGGAGGAGGAGGAGGAGGAGGAGGAGGAGGAGTGGAGGAGGAGGAGGGAGGAGGGAGGAGGAGGAGGGAGGAGGAGGAGGAGGAGGAGGAGGAGGAGGAGGAGGAGGAGGAGGAGGAGGAGGAGGAGGAGGAGGAGGAGGAGGAGGAGGAGGAGGAGGAGGTGTGAGGAGGAGGAGGAGGAGGGTGAGGAGGAGGAGGAGGAGGAGGAGGAGGAGGAGGAGGAGGAGGAGGAGGAGAGGAGGAGGAGGCGAGGAGGAGGAGGAGGAGGAGGAGGAGGAGGAGGAGGAGGAGGAGAGCGAGGAGGAGGAGGAGGAGGAGAGGAGGAGGAGGAGGAGGAGGAGGAGGAGGAGGAGGAGGAGGCGGAGGAGAGGAGGAGGAGGAGGAGGAGGAGGAGGAGGAGGAGGAGGAGGAGGAGGAGGAGGAGGAGGAGGAGGAGGAGGAGGAGGGAGGAGGAGGAGGAGGAGAGGAGGAGGAGGAGGAGGTGAGGAGGAGGAGGAGGAGGAGGAGGAGGAGAAGGAGGAGGAGGAGGAGGAGGAGGAGGAGTGAGGAGGAGGAGGATGAGGAGTGAAGGAGGAGGAGGAGGAGGAGGAGGAGGAGGAGGCGGAGGGAGGAGCAACGGCCGGGGGGCCAGGATCGCCTTGCACGGCCTCCGCAGGCCCGAGTTGCGACCCGAAAAGAGCCACACCCACGGCTCGATGATGTCTTCGGATGGCCAGGTGGCGGCTCTTCCTCGATGGCGGTAAGGCGTTGATTATGGCCGGCGCCGCCGACCCTGAGGGGAGAAGACGACGACAACGACGACGACGACGACGACGACGACGACGACGACGACGACGACGACGACGACGACGACGACGACCCTGACGACGACACTGACGACGACACTGACGACGACCCTGACGACGACCCTAACGACGACGACGACGACGCTGACGTTCTGGAGCCGAAAGCGTCTCCAATGGAGGGGTGGTCCTTTCCCAGGGGGGTGTCACCCCCCCCCCCAACCCTCCCCAGAGTGCCCCCCCCCGCCCTCTCGGCGGGGGAGGGATCAAAGGGGAGGGGCTTCCCTTCGACTCTGGTTGGAACTCTTGAGGGGTTTGCGACGACGACGACGACGACGACGACGACGACGACGACGACGACGACGGCGACGACACTCACGCTGACAGGTCGGCGGATTTCGTCATTTGGGGGCTGGTTTCGAGCCCGGGGGCCATCAAAAATCGATCACCTGACTCAGGCCCCGCCGTACTCTCAAGAGCCGCTCGGGCTCTGGCTGCCGCTGTCCCGCAAGCGGTTTGATACATCATATTTTGGTGACGTCCCGACCGCCACACGTAGTTGCCATTGGAAATTTGATCTTCTTTTGGCTGCGGAGCACTAGCTTGCAGAATGCTCCAGCCGACGCAGAATGTGAGGGACGAGGTCATGAAGTTCTTCTCCAGCCTGGGCACACACGATTTGAGGTCCCGCCCAGAGCTTAGCAGTCTTGCTGGCGTCTCCGGTGATGATGTCCACCTTCTCCTTGACATGACAAAGCGAAGCATTCAGCATATAGCAGAGACGATGGGTTTTCTTCAAGAGAGCTACAGCCGTAAGGCTGTGTTTGAAAAGCGTGGCAAATCCGATTACATCATTCTGATGTGCGGCCCTGAGCTGACAGGATACGATGTTACCGATAATCTCAAGTTTTGGATGACACATCATAGCAGTAAAGAACGGTCTCTTGCAGAAGCATGGCTTTCCAGAAGCGATTCTGGTGTGGGAATATCCACCCTATTCGTATCTCACGTGCAGGCGCAACCATTAGAGGCTACAGTGAGAACTGTACCCTACGAAGCTTATTTGTGGCTTGATAATCGAAGGCGCTACGGCGAACCACCGCCGCTCCCTGCCTTTTGGAAATGCCCATGCGGCCAAATGTTGGGCCAACATCTGTCCAAGCTAATCGGCTATGCGCTCACACAGCCTTTGTGGAACTCCTTGACCCCTTGGGGGTACACCTGTGAGAGAAAGTGAAAGAAGGATGAGAGGGAGGATGATGAATAAGAGGAACAGTAGGCATCTTGAGGCCGTCATGTTGCTTCCTGGGCGCTTCCCGGGAACCATCTTGGGGGCCTCTAGAGACCTCTTTGGAGCCTCCTCGGGCCTGCTGGGGCCTCTTAGGGGCCTTTGGGACCTCTTGACCTTCGGAGGCCGTCTTGGGGGCCTCTCTGGGAAGTCGTGGATCCCTCGTCGGGCGCCTTAGGGCTGTTTTGGAGATCTGTGGGTCCGTCTTGGGTGGTCCCGCTTGAGCCGTCTTGGGGACCTAAAGGCCGTCTTGGAGCGTCGAATGCCCGAAATGGCGAGAACGCTCAAGCCTTTGACAAACCCACGGACAAGCATTGATTTGGGCCTCCTGGAGGTCCTCTTCGGGCTCTCTGGGGGCGTCTTGCGGGCCCTCTGGGGCCGTCCAGAGGAGGGCACCTTCGGCCGCCTCGGGGCAGTGCTTGGCCGTCTTGGGTTCGTCTTGGGAACCATCTTGGCCGTCTTGGAGGCCATATCGTGGCCGTCTTGGAGGCCATATTTTGGCCGTCTTGGAGACCATATCTTGGCAGCCTTGGGGGCCATATCCGTGCCGCCCTGGGGGGAAGGAGACCAACGGAGGCTGGGCAGGATCGGCCGAGGTTCCAGTGGGATTCTGGTATAGCAAGAGAAAACAAGGTATTGGAACGGTTGGCGCCAGCAGGGGGCGGCGGCTCCTCCCTTCAGCCAGCCCCGAGACCGTGTCAGCTCACCGAGCGCGCCCCGCTGTCAGTAGCGTTCAACCGATCCCTATCCCCAAACCCATCCACATCTCGAGCCCCACCGTCTCACCACCTCAGTTGGGGATATGCCCCTCGAAACCCGTAGAGAGCAGCCTATATGCCCATCCAGGGGGTGTAAATCGGCCAGTGGGGCCCAGCTCACGCTGGTGGGGATGGGGATCGAACAAGCGGTGCTCACACTGCTCGCACAGCGCCTACTCGCACGCGTCCGAAAAAAAAACTGCCTCGAGGCGCAGCGTCCGGGCCGCGGGGGGCGAGGCCGCGGGGGGCGAGGAGGCCCTGCCGCAGCTCTTAGCATAAGCTCTGCCCAAGCCTGGCGCGCAACAGTGAAGCGGTATTGCGACGCCCTGTGAGCCCACGGCATTTGTGTTCATGTGTTTTGCACTCGGCTTTCTTTCTTTCTTGTTGTTCTCTTTCTCTTTCTCCTTCTCCTTTTCTTTTGTTGTTCCTTTCTTTCTTTCTCTCTCTCTCTCTCTCTCTAGAAAGAGAGAGAGAGAGAGAGAGAGAGAGAGAGAGAGAGAGAGAGAAAAAAGAGAGAGAGAGAGAGAGAGAGAGAGAGACGCAATGGATCGTGAATCCCCCGCGGCGGATCCAGGCCAGTTCTATTCTGCGAGCAGTGGAACGCGCCTGTCGATCGGCGCAGCAGCACAGAAAAGGCAAGGCCCAGTTCAAGAGCTGTTCCAGCTCGGTGCACTTTCTATTCACTTAGCGGGGTCTCAAACACCCCTTGTCTCGAAGACGAAAAATCGCCATAAATATAAACTTTCGGCGCTCCGCGCACCTTTCTTGCATCCGCGCTGGGGCCCACCTGGCGGCGCCTCGGGCGCCGCCCCTGGCGCGCTCCGCGCGCCAGGGAGGGGGGTCCAGTGCGGATCCAAGAATTCCGCGCGGAGCGCCTAAAGTTTTCATTCATGGCGTGTTTTCTTCTTCTGTCGTTGTCCTAAGCTTTGTTCTCTTCACCCTCATCTCTCCTCCTGCCGTGTGCTCCCTCCGGCAAGCAACTTGGAGGCTTCTCAAAGGGCTTCTAGTCGGGCCTCTCGGGGCCGTCTTGGGGCCCTCTCGTGGGCCTCCTGGGTGTTCGACGGGGGGGCCGCTGAGGGCCTCGGGGCGAATGCCTCTTCGGTCGCCTCCTGGGGGTCTGGGGGCCTCTTGGGGCTTTTTCTGTACATCTGAGAGCCTTCGTGGGTTGTGAGGCCGTCTTGGATTGGTCCTCGCAGCTTGCAGCTGTCTCGGAGCAATACTTGGCCATGCGGGAGCCTTCCTAGAAGCCGAGAAGGTTGCTAGTAAGCAGTACACAACCCTAGAAGGTCCAGTTTCCGAAGGCTGCTTCCTACGAAGGGGTCGCCCTTCGAAAATGGCAGAAAAAAACCCTTGGATACAGCTGACAACCATTCTAACACTCCACTCCGCTACGGTGCAGGCACGGTGGCGGATACCACACTTCGCCAATGTCAAGATGACTTTGATCCTGAGAGAGTGGCTGGCGTAATCAAGTATTTATCAAATGCCCACGATGGCACGCGCGCAGTGTTGGATGAGCCCTCGCTGACTTATTTGAAGAGGTCATTTTGCATATGTGAGATTGCTTGCACCGTGGGCAGTAAACTTCGCAATGAGATGAGTGACGAGACCTCGCGCATGTTCTTAGATGGCGCTTTCTTCATTGACGCGAGAACAGCCACATCGACAAACGATAAACACACGTGCTTGGTAGATGGTTACATTATTGGGCAGTGGGGGTCTTACAGAACATTCAATGGCATTGTTTCAGCATCGTTCATGTCGGCGGCCGTGGAGGGCCTGGTGGGCCTGCTGGCCGGCGGCGCCCCCGGCGCGCAGGAGGAGGCGGCGCGCGTGCTGGCCAACTTCAACCTGGCCTGGGAAGACGCCGAGAACCAGCGCGCCATCGGCCGGGCCCCGGGCGCCGTGGATGGTCTGGTGGGCCTGCTGGCCGGCGGCGCCCGCGGCGCGCAGGAGCAGGCGGCGCGCGCGCTGGCCAACCTGGCCGCCAACGACGACGCCGCCGAGAACCGGCG